CTAAATCAACAGTAGCGACCTCCTACAACAGTTCTTCGAGGGTAAACGTCGTCATTTTGGTGTTAACAGTCCAAATTCACCGCCCAAAACACGTAAACAAAAGAACAAAGCCTCGGCAGACGACGCCGCCGCCATCTTGGCAATTATAGGCCGCAAACGCATTGTGGGATGACGTAATCGGTGATTACGCAACCCACTTTGACCTCTGACCTGCCCTCACTTACCGCCGCCCAGTCACTTCCTGGTCGGCGGGCGCGAAACATGCAGCTGTGCTAAGTTATCCCGGGGAATACCCTATCCCGAATATACCCGGGCATGGCACACAGGGGATGTATAGTGAACCCGGATATACCCGGGACCGGCAGCTTAAGGGTGATCAGAAATTTCGATGAATTCAGAATAAATAGTGTTCCATACGTATCTAACAATGCTAAATGTTATATAATAAAGCTAAAAAAGAGACCGTGGGGGAGTTTGAATAGGCAAAGGTACACTGTTTGTTCATCAGCAGGTCGATATAATTAGTCAGCACATGGGAACTGTAAAACTAACCGAGTCTGTACTGGGCAAGAAGTACATTATAAAGAAACAATATAATATATATAATGGAAATTAACCGTCAATAATATTTATATTGCAGTGTACATGGTCAAAACATCCTGTAGTTTCCATGCTTTAACAAAGACTTTTAGACTTGACTCAAATGCCATACGTTACAACATCCAACTCATTCCTATGGTCTTACTTACTTTCTTGTAGATGTAGACAACAAATGTATCCATTGCAATTTTCTTGGCATGAGCAGTACAGCGGGTTTCTGACCGGCATTTCATGTTAATTTACACATGCTTTGTAATATTGTAATAATAAAAATTCTGTAAATTATATAATATGTTTTATATTATATAATTTTCAGTAATTTTTATTAATAGTTATGCTGTAGTTTATGCTAATTTGATGACGCCATTGACCAAAATCCAAGATGGCGGACCTTATCATTAGATTAGGTACATTCCGACTATTTTCCTTAAAATTTCATCCCAACTCCTATTTTCATTTTATTTTAGGCTTTATCTTGAAAAAAGGATTTTTGAAAATTCAATATTGACGATCTAAGATGGCGAGGAGTTGATATATGTATGACGTAGCTGGTGTTGCTTTGGACAATATAGAATTAAGTAGACCTAATATTCTATATTATAGACACTTTTGTTGAAACGTTTTTGTATACCATTGAGTTTTACGAGAAAAACTGTTTAAGGCAATAATTCACATGTATGACGTCATATTACGTTATAATTATATCAATATTGTAATTATGATTGATTGTTACTAGTACACCTCTGAAAATTTGGTGGTCATACGATATACCGTATACAAGTTCTAAAGGGGACGAATAAGTCCCCCCCCCCCACCCCACACACACAGTCCGAGATTCGAAAAAAAGCTTAGTCTAGATACGGTAAATTTGGATTGAAAAAGGTTCAGAAAAACCTTCTGCATTGACAAACAGAATTGACAATAGTTATAATTGATGTTTAAATGGGCTCGTGTGGCGTAGCGGTAGCGTCTTCGGCCCGGAACCAAGACGTCTCGGGTTCGAACCCCACCTTGTCACCAATCTTGTGCCGGATTGTACGACCTCTCCGACCGTCATATTACTACCTGCATGGTAATTACATAAAGTAATCTGGCTAATGGGAAAAAAAAAACACATGGCAATAGCCCTTCGTCGGCCGATAGAGAGTTTGTTTACGCCGAATGCAATGAACTATTAACTCATAAAAATTGGTCTCGTGCCTATACAAAGCGATTTGACAGAACCTGTTCGGCAACTTTTTGGGGGCCGTATTTTTCAAAATTGCTCTGTACCTGTCTACACCGTGAGATTGGTCCCCCTACTTTTTACCGAGGTAGGTCTATTACTGTAGTTATATTATTTTTTACAGAAGG